CAACTAAACTCTTCTAGGGCCTGAAGATACAGTGGTAGTTTTAGGATTAAGACTTGATAAGGAGGGAATTCACAAGGTGTGCCCAACGACCAAAGATGGTGGAATGAGTGTTATTCTACTGATCTGTGGGCATTTTATTGTACATTTTATTGTACAAAGGGCCAAAAAATATCTCGTGGAAGCCCTTCCAGACTGCAGTATGTAGTGGGACAGGCTGGGAGAATCGTGACACAAGCGAAAGGTAGGACACAAGGTGAAGTCCTACCTTTACCTTGAGCATCACGGGATTTGCTCAGCAAGCATGAAGAAAACAAAATCAAGCATTACAGGTGACACGGTCAGAGCAAAAAATCCCAAGCATCGGACTGGCATGCCAGCCTTTTTTGGATGCTGGATGCTCAGGAGGTTGAGATACACGGGGAAAACCCCCAGAGCAAGGAATGGCATTTTATTGTCAGGATAACACCTTTTTGGACACAAGGGCTGATTTCTGAAGCAGATTTAGGCAAGGGGTTAGACAAAGCAATGTCTTAATGGTTGCATCAAACTAACTACAGAGATTCATACAAATAAAGGTTAAAAATATCTAATTCTTAGGATTAATTAGATCTTGAGACCAAGTAACCATATAGTTAATGAAATCGCTCTAACTTGTGCAGTTAAGCACAAACCTGGATGAGCAGAGGACATAATTATGGCTACATACTGATATTTCAGTAATAGCTCCCATGTACATCTGCTCATCAACTAAAAGCAAAAGAAATATCAATCACGTTTGGACAATTTTTACATAAACCATAATCTGCATGTTACTTTTGAAAAAGAAAAAAAGAATACATTTGCATTTTTTCTTTGTTTTTCAGTAAAGTCTTAAAGGATAAATCAATGTTAAGGGTTTTTTTTTTTTGTTTTAGTATTTACTTTGATTTTTAATTCCAGCATCTATTAAGCTACTGTTTCTTGCCTTCACCAAGGTAAAATGTAAAGCAACAGCACAGGCAAAATGACTTAGAAGAAAGGGAAAAAATGAATCGAGAAAATAAAAGTAATGACAACTTGAACTCTGAATTGACAGGTAAAAGGCTAAGTTGTAAAGCACAGTTTCTCATAATTACTAAACAAAAACAATTTAGAATTTAAACTAAAATCAAATTTAAGCAATGAAATCTTAGCTGGAAATCAAAAGGAAATCAAATTCAAGATTTCAAAAGAGCAACACTGAAAATGCAAAATTTGTCTTATACTTGTTGCAACTTGGTCTTGGAAATTGGCAGGGAGGACGAAAAGTCAAGAAACAAGTTTTGCTTTACCTAGTGATAAATAGTCACCCTTCGCTGTTTGCAGGATGACATATTTCTACAATATTCACTTTGAAACAATCTAGGATGGACCACGACTGCTCTTGCTGAGGGAGAATCAATACTAGGAAGCAAAAGAGTAAAGCAACAGCGTCCTGATCATTAAGGCCATTAGTATTGAACAAACTGAGGGAGATAGTGGGTATATAAAAGTCAAACGTATCCATGGCTGAGAAGATAACATATTTCTATGCAACAAAATCAACAAAAAGATTTTAATAGCCTTTTGACTGGCCAGGTAAACAGCACATTTCTGAAAGATATTCAAACTACACTTTTTCAAGCTTTCAGAGAAAGTAATTCAAAGCCAGCCACATCTTTATATTAAGTGATTTGCTGGATGGAGACGAAATTTGCACTGAATTAAAGGCTAATGTGTATGATGAACAAGAAGAGAATGAAGCAAATGTATGAAATGTGAACTTAAGCATTTCACTCAGCTGGGTAACTACATATAGTGCCTGCTGCTGAAAGACCTGTGAAATTGTACATGGTTGAATGATGCAGAAACTTTACTGTTGAATTAAGACCTCAATATATTCCATGGATTTTATGATCAAATATTTTCCAGGCATAGCATCTTCTTGAGAACAGACTGGCAGCACTGTGCTAGGGTAACCTTGTCTTGCAGAAAGCATCTTTGTGAAAACCTGGTGCAAAAAGCAAACATTTCGGCAATTGGCTGTCAAATAAAATTACTGTGTTGCACTTGAAGCTTTTGGGAAGATTTGCAGTTTGAAATCCGGGCTACTCTGTAAGTATAAGAAATTAATTTCAATGAATCTTTAAACATTTATCGTTAAAAGTATAATTAAAATAAACAATATGACAGATGTTTCTGTTTTGAATAGGAAAGGACTCTGTAAGGAAATAATAAACACAAAAGGAGTATTTTAACCTATGTAATGAATCCACTCATGAACTAGGGTGCACTTCCACGCTGATACAGAAAGGTAACGTAGAAAGTGTGATGTTTTGATGACCTTACACATGTCTAACGAACAGCTACTGCAGTAACCATACTCTGCCTATCATCAACATGCTATTGAATATTTGCAAATATTAAAGATATTAACTTCAGCCTTTAGAGGTAGCATTAGAATTACTTTTCTAGAACAGTTCCTAGATAAATAAAAACATTCCTAATGTGCTACACTTTTAAGCAGCAAAATATTTGATAAAGCTGCTTTTCAATAAAACTGTACAGTTTCTGGACCCTTTTACAAAGGCTGGACAGAATATAACTACTCACTAAAAAATAATCCATTTGAGAATCTCATTTGTCTAATTTTTAAATTCATATCTTTATATCAATTATTGCAGCTCTTCTTTATTCTTGCTGAATCTAAAGCTTCTTTGCTCACACAAAGGTTGTTATTTATTGTACTACCTGCGGTCAAAAACAGATTCCTGTCATCTGCCTTGTGCTGATATTTACACTAATAAAGACCTACCCGCCTCCACAGGCTTGTCTTTAGCTTCAAGCAGTATAATAATTTCTATTACAATTTACAATAATCAACATCTACTATCAAAGATTATATAATTTCATTGAAATAGGTTGAAATCTGAAACTAAACAGAATTCTTGCCCTCGCTACATGCACCAACACACTTTTCAGTAATTCTGTCTTGGTAGTTGGAAATTAGAAGTTGGAATTCCTATTCTGTTTATTCTAAAAATACTCTTGCACTAACTGTATCCTTCATCTTCATCTTCATTGAGCAAGGCTTTTGACACTGTCCCTCACAGCATCCTCCTGGGCAAGCTCCAAAGGTGTGGGATAGATGAGTGGACAGGGAGGTGGATTAGGAATTGGCTCAATGGCAGGGTGCAGAGAGTGGTTGTCAATGGTGCGGAGTCCAGCTGGAGGCCTGTACTTAGTGGTGTCCCCCAGGGGTCAGTTCTCGGTCCGGTCCTGTTCAACTTATTCATTAATGACCTGGATGAAGGGCTGGAGTGCTCCCTCAGCAAGTTTGCCAACGATACCAAACTGGGTGGAGTAGCTGATAGCCCTGAGGGTTGTGCTGCCATCCAGAGGGACCTGGACAGACTGGAGGACTGGGCGGCGAGAAACCTCATGAGGTTCAACAAGGGCAAGTGCAAGGTCCTGCACTTGGGGAGGAATAACCCTGGACACCAGTACAGATTAGGCGTGGACCTGCTGGAGAGCAGCCCCGCAGAGAGGGACCTGGGTGTCATGGTGGACGACAAGTTGACCATGAGGCAGCAGTGTGCCCTGGTGGCCAAGAAGGCCAACGGGATCCTGGGGTGCATTAAGAAAAGCGTCTCCAGCAGGTCGAGGGAAGTGATCATCCCCCTCTACTCAGCCCTGGTGAGGCCACATCTGGAGTACTGTGTCCAGTTCTGGGCTCCCCAGTACAAGAGGGATGTAGAGCTGCTGGAGAGAGTCCAGCGCAGGGCTACCAGGATGATCAGAGGCCTGGAACATCTGCCCTATGAGCAAAGGCTGAGAGAGCTGGGCCTGTTCAGCCTGGAGAAGAGGAGGCTGAGGGGGGACCTGATCAGCGTGTATAAATACCTCAAGGGAGGCAGTGAGGAGGAGGGGGGCGCCCTCTTTTCAGTGGTGGACAGTGATAGGACTAGAGGAAATGGCTTCAAACTGAAGCATCGGAAGTTCCACAGGAACTTAAGGAAGCATTTCTTCACTGTGCGGGTGACAAAGCACTGGAACAGGCTGCCCAGAGAGGTTGTGGAGTCTCCTTCTTTGGAGATCTTTAAAACCCGCTTGGACACAGCCCTGTGCCACGTGCCCTAGGTGACCCTGCGTGAGCAGGGGGGTTGGACTTGATGACCTCTGAGGTCCCTTCCAACCTTCGGCATTCTATGATTCTATGATCTTCAAGAGCATTTTCTCCTTTCTGGTACTCCCAAAGTATTAACAGACTGAAACAACCCCATTCTCAGTCTGCTTTCTTCCCATGAAAGCCAAACTCAATTATCCATCTCTTGAGTAAGGGTTATTCCAATGTTACCTTGGAGTCCTTTCTACTGCCAAAAAATTGACTACATCTACTACATTTTACTACTTACACACAGACATTAAAAAAAAAAAGAAGATAAAGAATGAGTACAGAATTCACCACTGCAAAAGCCTCTTTGCTTTAGCTGTATGTTAAAAAATGTGAAATTAATAAAACTATACATATGAAGAACTCTGCATCTGGCTGCAAACGAAGCAATTACAGTGAAGAAAAAAATTTTTAAAAGTGGTATATGAATTTGGGAAAACCAAATTTTGTACTTACGGCATTTGACCACCATCAAACCCCCATAATATAAAAATTGCTTTTCACATACCAGAACAGCAAAGATGTACAGAAAAAAAGTCACCAAGTTTTACAATAAATAGGCAGTATAACAGGCAGTGTCTAAAAAATTAAGTATCACAACAAAACATTGGAGCTTCAGATATTTTCCAGGACTGCCTTCATTGTCGTCTGAGGATTAAACAGCTCATGGTGGGGAAATTTTGACATAATTCTCATTAACAGACATGACTCACGGACAATTCTCCACTTACCTGTTGTGGATGACAGCAAAAGTTTCCTGCGAGCTTCTAAAGTTAAAGTCAATAAAGCAGAGATGTGTCAAACGCAGCACAGTTAAAGCAAGGATTACCTGGTGGCTGGCAGGGTGCTGACCCGTGTAAAGAAAACGGATGGCTCTACTTCTACGTGGAGACCCAGTGAAAGGTTCCTGTAGTATCCTTCAATGTGTCCTGGTCCACCGGAATATTTAAAATTCAGAATGGCTTCCAGTGTCTAAAAGAAAAGAATATATATATTTATATTTGTATATATACACATTTATATATTTGTGAGCTGTGTGGATGGATTAAAGCTAATTTTCAATTCTCAGTGTTTAGGGTTTATTAAATGATACTCTCTTTTATGTGCTTTAGAAACATGGACCAAGTCATTACCTTCCTAATAAAATAGGCTTTTAAAGCCCTCGACAGCAGACACGCAGAAGAAGCTTAAACAGAATTACAGCTCCTGGTCTCTATATAAGTGAGTATAAGCACACAAAAACTAACCCCATAAAAATAAGTGCAGACCTGATAAAGTGCATGAACCTTCTCCATCCATGAAGTTCATCTTAGAGGAACAGGCTTGCCTAGCAAATACTGAAAATTAGGATGATTTTCCAGTGTTAGTGGCAACTCCAAAAGGCAAGGTAATGTAAGGCTAGGGAGACAGTCTTATCTGCAGGTGTCACCAACCTTCAGACAGTGAAAGATATTTTCCCTTTCGATTCAAGATACATAAAGCTGTTTATGAAATGTAGTAACTTCTTTTCCATAAGCTCTAAGGCACAATCTATAAAGATTGTCTTTAGCTTTCAAAAAACATTCATGTTTGACACCATTCTGTCTCTGCCTGACAGACCAGAAACACTCTTACATGCAATTTCTTAAAATTACTGTAACACAATGATTTTAAAACTACCAAATCAAGAATTCAGTGTTTTGCTCCATGTGTGCACAAACATATTTTGCACATTTCCAGTTTGCTTTTAAGTCCCGGGCACTCCCGCTCACTCCTGGTTTCATTTCATTAACACTCATACAAGTCACCTTGTAGTGCAACCCAAAATATCTATGCGGCTGCATTTCCGTCTACTCTGTTTATGCTAATTCCTAATTGGTAGCTAATGAACTCAAGCTTCTATTATGTCAGGCAGGGTAATCAATACTAAGTACCAAAATAAAGGAAAAATGGAAACCCATCCTAAACCTACCTCGTTCTAATTAATCATCTGGATGATTTAATAGAAGTCAGAGACAGGTTCTACACGTGTCTGATGCTTCCAAAGTCTTAAGGTAAGAAAGCATTTCAATTTTAATTAGGATTTTTTCCACAAAAACTCTAGCTATGTATGCTCCATGTGAGTGCTGTACAATTCAGGATGACAAGAAGATTTATACCATATAAACAGAATGTAAAAATATAGATGTATACACACATTTCTTACAGATATATACAAATTCCTTGAAACTCCCCCACACATGCCATGGAAGAACTCCACGCATGGTATGAATGATTGATTTTCCATCCTTGAACAGAAGAAAATCCAACACTTCTGTAAATCTACAAAGCTCCAAATAAGAATAATTTACCCACAGAGGCTCCAACGTGGAGACTCCTTTCAAATGCCAATGCTTAGCTCTTGCTGGATACTTAACAGCCTTGTCAAATCAACACAAATAATAGACTAATTCTGTTATTTTTTAACAATATCCATAGAATTTATTTGACTTTGCTAATCTGCATTGCTGTAAGCAGGGACAAGGTGTCCTTGCAAACATAACCACAGTGGTGGAGTCATAAAAAGGAGAAAGCAGAATGCATCATATCTGGAATTCAAACTATTGATATACACTTATGTATAAAAAACTTTATGGTCTTCCCCTCTTATCTCTCACTTCTCAGACAATTCCACTCCCATATGCAACTCTAATGGGCCACCAGTGATATTCACCAGTGATAAAGGACACAAAAAAATGCCCTGGTTCATCAAGTCCATCTTCTAAAGGGCACTAGAGAAACTCCCTCTGCAAAACTGACTTCTAATCTTCTTCCTCTGGGTGCCATGATGCTTCAATTCTTTCATGGGTTGCACACTTGTAACCAAAGAGCACTTCTTAGGAATTTTGGCTACTGAGAATATTTCATACTATTCTCAGAATAATATTCAGAATTTTATGAGAATATTTCATAATTTGTTCAAATTATGCAGTAGTAACAAAGAGAAAGTCAGTGTTTTGAATAAAGGTGTCCACAAGAGCCACAGCTAAACCTGGAAATAAGGACAGCAGTGACAGCCAAGAGCAGAACAGCAATTCAACTTGGGGCACTCCTAAGTCACTGTCGAGCTGTGCATTAGTCACTTATTCACTAATAAGCAAATTAAGAACAAGGAAGATTACCCATCCATGATGATAATCTCCCTTCCAGCGCTAAGCAAAACACTCCTAATCACCTAAGTGCTATTCTAAAAGATATCACCTCTTTTCTGCTTGCTAAGTTTAAAGATAACACTGCAGTTTCCAGCAATTAAAGCAGATTGTCTACGAAGCAGATGAGCATCAACTTTATTTTCTACCTGTGCAGACTTAAAGCATCATGATAACCTTGATTAAAAAAAAAAAAAAAACACCATCACCACCACCAAAAAAATCTCACTTTCCAACCACAGCAGAAATAAAAGCTCTTTTCTGATACATTTCAGTACAAGAAGTCCTGCTTACTGTAGCAGGGATGTAAAGCAGCTATGCTGCAAATGTGGTATTACTTGGCCAGTCCTGTCCCCTTCCATCAGGCTTTTTAATTTCAAAAAAGACTGACTAGCTCCATCATACAAAAGAATCACCCATGCTGCAAAAACAAAGACCAAAAAATTGCTAAGTATGTTCATTCATACTAAGCTCTCTGTAAATATTAGAAGGATCAGTGGTTCAATTTGTTTAATGGAGTTCTTAGCAGTTTTCAGCATCATTTCTTAATTTTCATCTTCCTCATGTCAGGTCCTCATTTTTTCATTCCATCCTGAAGACAAACTTCCACTGACAAACTGAGAAAACCTTGCTAACATGGTTGAATTTTAGCCAAATGCCAGAGATTCCTCAATTCTGTCATGAAATGGTGCCTGGCCACACATTTGGGTTCACTGTGATACTTGTCACCCACTAGTAATTTTACCTCATACAAAATCAAACCTATCACAGCTGGGAATTATCCTTTTAGCCCCATAATTTGAAGTATCCTCTTGCCCTCGCCGATGCCTCTGGCACTGGTGTCCCGAGCCGGACACTGAGGCCCTTCTCCTCCTTGCCTTGGTCCATCCATCCCCACCAGTCTGGGCAGGCTGCCCCCGTCCAAGGCACCACAGGGCGTAATCATGTTTTTTGACCCTAGTCAGATTAAGGGATTTATATGCTGCTATTGATGACTGTGCTATTTGGTGCTTTAAGGAACAGTATCAACTAGGAATATCTCTATTAGACATCTCTATCTAATATCTCTACTAGGAATATATCCCTATCTCATGTAGGCAAAAAAAAATTGACTCAAATTACCACTCTTCTGGAGTTTTAATTTGCTGTAGACTAACAAAAGTAAAATATTTGTAATTTTCGCTTCTTTCTCTTCTGTTGCTGATGCTACAATCCTTGACTTCACACAGTAACCTGTGGACTAGACGAGTGCACGGTGCGGTGGATCGAGGGCTGGCTGGATGGCAGAGCTCAGAGGGTGGTGATAAATGGGGCCGAGTCCAGTTGGAGGCCTGTGGCCAGTGGTGTCCCCCAGGGGTCAGTGCTGGGCTGTTCAATTTGTTCATCAATGACCTGGACGAGGGCACGGAATGCACCCTGGGCAAGTTTGCAGATGACACCAAGCTGGGTGGAGTGGCCAACACTTCGGAGGGCTGTGCTGCCATCCAGAGGGACCTGGACAGGCTGGAGAGTTGGGCAGAGAGGAACCTCATGAGGTTCAATAAGGACAAGTGCAGGGTCCTGCACCTGGGGAGGAATAACCCCAGGCACCAGTACAGATTAGGGGTCGACCTGCTGGAAAGCACCTCCACGGAGAGGGACCTGGGAGTCCCGGTTGTCACCAAGTTAACCATGAGTCAGCAGTGTGTCCTCGTGGCCAAGAAGGCCAATGGGATCCTGGCCTGCATCAGGAGGAGTGTTGCCAGCAGGTCAAGGGAGGGGATTCTGCCCCTCTACTCAGCTCTGGTGAGGCCGCACCTGGAGTACTGTGTGCAGTTCTGGGCTCCCCAGTATAAGAGGGACGTGGAGCTTCTGGAGAGGGTCCAGAGAAGGGCAACCAGGATGATTAAGGGAATGGAACATCTCTCGTATGAAGAGAGGCTGAGTGAGCTGGGCCTGTTTTCTCTGGAGAAGAGACGGCTCAGAGGGGATATGATTAATATGTATAAGTTCAGGAAGGGAGAATGCAGGCAGGAAGGGGACAAGCTGTTTTCACTGGTGGCCAGCGATAGGACAAGGGGTAATGGCCACAAGCTGAAGCACAAGAAGTTCCGTCTCCAGGTGAGGAGCAACTTCTTTACTGTTAGGGTGACAGAGCAGTGGAACAGGCTGCCCAGGGAGGTTGTGGAGTCTCCTACTCTGGAGGTCTTCAAAACCCACCTGGATGCCACCCTGTACCACATGCTGTAGGTGTGCCTGCTTGAGCAGGAAGGTTGGACTAGATGATCTCTAGAGGTCCCTTCCAACCTTAAATATTCTGTGATTCTGTCTATATAAAATTCAGGCATAATAACAGGGTTGAGGGAAGTAATGGGTGCCTATGAATATCCTTTAGTCTATCCTGTTTGTAAGGGAAAAATGAATGAATGAATGAATGAATGAATGAATGAATGAATGAATGAATGAATGAAAAAAGAGAGAGAGAAAGAAAGAGAGAGAAAGAGAGAGAAAGAGAGAGAAAGAGAGAGAAAGAGAAAGAAAGAGAGAGAAAGAGAGAGAAAAAGAGAGAGACAGTGAGAGAAAAAGAAATAGAGAGATAGACAGACAGAAAGAGCATGCTCGCCACTGCTGATCAGCTGGACCATAAATCTCATGACCACTGCAAAGCCCCCCACTGCAAGCCCCTCACTGGTGGCACCAGAGAGGTGCCACCTCATCTTCCAAGCTTCCTCTATGGAGGAACCCACAATAATTCCTTCTGCCCTGAAACATTCCTTTTCTTGAAATACTGGTATTGGGAGGAAATTTGGGAGGTCAGAGGGGGAT